AATGCGAGCGATCGCAGGGCGAGATCGAGCGCGGCCGCGGCTCGGAGAGGTCGGCCGTCGTGCCGGCGCGCCCCCGAATGGGCCATTCGGAGCGGCCGGCGCGCCCAGACGTCATCCCAGATGACGCCGGCGGCCGTCATTGGAAGATGGCGTCACCATCATGGCTCGCTGTGGGGTGTTCTCTGTCCAGAGTTCTGATCTGCTCCGACCGGGTCCAGTGACTCGGGATGGCCCGAGCCGGCGAAATGTCAAAGCTCGGTCTTGTCCAAACATGCGAGAAAACATGGGCGTTTTCTTGGGGTGCAGTCGGCATATATCAAGTTATATCCACTGCCATAAATGTGAGCTATGCCTCAGTAGGCCTCAGCGCCTACATGTAAGTAAATATTGCTTCTGTCAGTTTGTCAATAACTTTATGTTCAGGTGTTACCTGGTGCCCTGGATAGTGATCGGTCACTTATCAATTCAATTGTCAATAGAAAAGTAAATGTGTGGCTGAAGGAGACAATTAATTTATGTAATTTGTCTCTTCTCTCTAAAATGTAACAACATAAAAGTACACATCTCTTTTAACCTATATAAAATAGTTAGTTCATTATCTTGAAATGCTTGTAGATCTCTCCGTACAGCTCTATCAAACCGCAATGATCAATGGCATCTTTCAGTTGCACACTCTCGTCCTTGTATGCTGCGCATACTTGGGTATCATTGGATGCACGTTTTCAATTGTTAAGATGTGCTGCCAACTGCAGCGATGGCGGTTTTCTCTGCAGCGAATTCTGTCCCGTATACCTCCAGTGAAATAGAGAAGGCGGCAGCGGATTCCCGGGACATCAGAGGGGCGGTCTCCAGCATTACCAAGGCATGACCCCGTCCAGACAGACAGCGACTAAATTCACTGGCGACCTCCCGGGCAAGCCTTAGAAACGGAGACAATTTATCACGTGGGCCTCCACTGGAGAGCGACGAGTATGGCGCAGATCATCCAGTCTGAGTGAATACGAAGCAGCTCAGTGGCGATACACCGCTGCCGGCCCAAGGCTTACTTTTGGTCACATTTCTATCATCGTGCCCATAACGCCGCTCAATCCCAGGGATGAGGAGCAGACCTCTTCTTCACCCGCCTTCCTTTGGACATTTCTCATTTCGGCTGGCAGTGCCGGCCTGCATAAGCCGGCTCTGATCCCGCATGTCATCCGGCTCATGGCGTGCCTGGGAGCTCCCTGGCCAGTCCCGGCAGCGGCGGAAGCGGCCGCGCCGCCGGCTGTTCACTGTTTGTTCCGCGCCCTCAGCACCCGTGACGGGTGCCAGTCAACGATGCTGCACGGTAAACGATCGGACCCAGCGTCCGCCGGCCAGAGCAGCTCGCCCCACTGACAGACAGACGTGGCGACCTGTCACCTCGGGAGGCTGCCAATCGGACGCCGGTGGCGGGACACTGCCAAATGGGGTGACTGATGCTCCGACACCGCCATACGGTGTACCCGCTGACCTTAGGGTTAACCACACCGCAGCAGTCAGGTGGTCTTCCGTTGTGTGTACCGGTGTTGGGCTGCTGCCAGACCCTGCTGCAGCATCGCTAAATAACATGAATTTTATGCAGTGATCGATCCTCAGACTCGTGACCTGAAAATTGACAGGTTGACGTAAAATGTGGGACATAACACAGCGGGCACAACGTTCAAAGGCAACAGCTCACCTCAGAACGCATTAATATAAAAATTGGAAGGCTCTCTGTTAATCGTATCACCGCGAACCGTTATTAGACGCAATAAATCAATAACAGTCACCAATAACTCACCTGTCAGGCAGATAATAATTAAAGAAACGTTGACGTCTCTGTTTCTTACGAGACGGACGCTGAAAGTACGTCATGTTCCGATTGTCGTCCTTTGCCGCTAATTATTTGATAAACAACTGACATCTGGTGAAAAAGCTCGGCCGACAGAGGCTCGGCTCTCAGCAGGGGTGCTGGCACGGCCCCAGCTCGGTAAGCGCTCGCAGCTCGCGGTGTTGTTCAGAGTGGAAAATAATCCTCATGTCGGCCTGGCTCGGGCGGGAACCCCACCCCGGTCGATGCCGGTGTCGGCGGAGACATTGGGCGGCGCTCCGATCCGATCGCGCCTGTTGTGAATAGCAGCGGCGTCCTGGGGCCGGCTGGCTGATCGTCAGTTGTCGCTGCCGACGGCGAGAGGGCCGGGGGAGGCGGGGGGAGGAGAGGCCGGCGGGCTGTCACCGGCGCCCCACGTCGTCAGCGAGCTCAGCTGACAAAGGTCCCGCTGTGTCGCGATCAGGCGCCTGTCGCTGGCGACGCTCCGCCACCGGTAGTCTCTGAATGGGGACACGAAGGACAGGGGCGGCCCTCGGCCCGGTGGCTGCGTCGGCCCGCCGGCGCTGTCTCGGCCCGACTGTCGGCACAGGTCCGACAGACAGGCGCGACAACGCCGCTGTCCGCCCGACTGTCCGCCGTGCCCGCACCTGGACAAACAGCTGACCTCTCCACTGGTCCTGTCCGCGAGCTGCCACCATTGGAACTCAACTCCTGTCGAGACCGGACCGCTGTTTTTGTCGGAGGCTAGACTTCCTGTCTGGAGGCAGCGCCGGCCAAGAGACCACAGACAAGAATTAATAGTTTGAATTAACAACATCAATTGTTTGCCCAGACCTGAGACGACGAGGTGAGATAGATTAACCGAGAGCATCGAGCAGACTGGTTTTGCTTCATTCCATTACCAATGTCGGACATGCTTGAAGAACGCCTCTTGGGAGTTCGCGTTGTAAGGTGAAGTTATCGTGAAGCTGGCATTTTCACGCCATTCGGCTACTTGTCAGAGTAAATTAAGAGTTCATGTTCGGCTCAGCACATTTCGCTATAGTTTGAAAGGAGTTTGACATTTTGACGAGTATGTATAATGTCGCCCAGGACTAACTTAACGGCGAGACACGAAACGAGTTCGAGATGTGGATGACGAAAAACGACGATTCCAACGGAACGTCGCCTACAATGCGTTCCGGAAACAGAGACCCTGGGGAAATGTCAGATCCGCAGGGGACGGCTTCGAATGCCAAATACCGTGAGCGACTGGAAGCGAGGGACTCGGCCTCAGCTGCGTTGGGGAATTCCGATGCCATTTAGTGCGCAACAGCTGCCTATTTCGGGCCAGCCAAGAAGTCCAGGCATTCCAACAGCTAGTAGGCGCAAAGAACACAATCAAACATTGCCGTTGATGGGTCACCCTCGTAATAAGCTCTACATGTTATTATGAGACGATATAAAACGGTGAACCAGCATCGATTGCCGTATGCTCACACCGGCCATGCTCATTTCCATTCCAGTCCCTAGATGGCAGTAGCGTCTGACGCCTGAACAAATACTGTGCCGCATAGCTTGAGAAGCGAGATTGGGCAGCAGGGCGAGCACGCTACCTTTGAAAAGCTACAGACTAGAGATCGCCTTAGCTCGATTTGCATGATCCGTGTGATGTGTGATATATGAGTGCTTAACTTTTGCTATGCCTTGTAAGAAATTGATTTTATTTGTTCCAGCGTTTAACTGTGGAAACCTATCGGGAACCATTATCGTTGAAGCTTGAAAGGCAATTCACGCCCAGGAAGCTTTCCCTCTCAGCGCCGTGGGCGCCACATCCAATGTTGACACCCGTTGTCACTTCGCTGCAATTCTTGGCTTTGTTGTGTGCTGCTCCCGGCTGTTTTGCCTGCGCCAACTGCGCTGTGCTTCTGAACGGGGTCCCGGTGGAGTCGTTTTCACCTTCAAAATGTCGTGAGGAGATGTAAATGGTCCCCCTGCACGTGCACACCGTCACCAACTGCATAAAACTAAACAGACGTCGCAGGTACTCTGGCAGAATTAAAAATCCTCACCACACAAAGCACAATGTACATAGCAACAGTACAAACAAGCTAGAACAGGCAAACAATAAGTGGCTTAATTTAGAATTAGAGTTTCAGCATAACTCTGCAATAACAGGAGGTAAGTAGCGAACAATACAAAATGTAATTACGCGTTTTGATTGATACGCATTCAAATGCCACATCGCATGCAATCGGGGTCAGCTGTAACCATCCTAAATCTTTCACTTGTCAAAAGCTGGCAAACTTAAAGCAAACCACAACCAGGAACTACGTCTTTTGTCATTGTAATCACAGAAAATGCGCAGCGTCGGCCGAAATCGCGATCACAATGCGGTAGTAAATGCGCAGCTAGGAATCCCACAGTTACTTTGGCGTTGCAGACTCACGAAGCCATTTGTCTTCGTCACTTGGATGATTTCTGATAAACAAGCTTCCTCCAAATATGTTTTGCATTGCTCATGTTGGGGTTATTAATGCGAAATACTCTGTAGCATTCCATGCTTGTAAATCGTTTGATTTATAATGACGTTTATAATATGAAAATGTCTCGACAATATGTTACATATGTAGAGCACACATTTGCCTTCGGTGTTATTCGCCAAAGTTGTGCGGATACAACAGTCAATGTAGATGCACGGTACAAAGTTGTGCGATATTAAAGCCATCCGGCCGGGCTGCACAGCTGCGCGCCATTGGAGGTCTCTGGCGATGTGCCTCATTACGGAGTCCTCCGGCCTCGGCTGAGTGGCCTGTTTGCAGTCTCATGCCGCGCGATCGTGCCTCGGCGTGCACTCTCGCCACGAGTGAGTGGCTTGTTTTCTGTCGCGCCCGGCTCGCTTGTCGGAGCACACAGAGAGCCGAAACTTCGCGGCAAAACACACTTCGGATCCGATTTGGGCTACGGAGTGAGACCGGTACTGTTTGTAGCACTCGAGCGTTAGGAGATACATCGACACACACCGCACCCGTGTTCTCTGCGCCGCCACCAGCCCACCTGCCGTCCGGGCCCCGCCGCTGGGCTGGCCGGTCAAGTGCATTGTTTACCGACTAATGAGGCACTTGACGCGGGTCTACCGAGCTCGGAGAGAGGAGAGCTGTCGTCTGATGCCGACCCATCTCTGTTGCAGGAGGTGGGCAGCATCATCGGCAAGAAGGGAGAGATCGTCAAGCGGTTCCGAGAGGAGGTGAGTTCCCGAGCCGCTCGCTGAGCTCTCTGATGAGCCATTGTTCGCCAGAGCCGAGTGGCTCGTGCCTAGTGAAACCAGATCCGACTTTCCACTCTGTGCGATCCCCCGGGAGAGAGTCCTTTTTGCCGGCGCGACAGAGAAGAACGCTCGTCAGCGCCGCTTAGTCTGTTTGCCATTATGCGTCGAGAAGAAACGCTCCGAAAATGAACGCTGACGCCATTTTTCTTCAGTGTTATCGTTTTATGCATGATGCATTTCGTTTGCATGCATTTAGTTGGAAGTCGGTGTCGGCTCTGAATAAATGCCGTGGCCACGGTGCCTTGGGAGCGCTAAATTGATATCCCCTTGTTTGCCTCAGGTGCTGCTTGGTAATGCATTGTTAGTCATACGCGTTTGTTGAATGACTTTACATTCATCTTTGCAAATTGTGCTCCTTACGTTGAAGTGAAGAAGACATCGGTTACATAAGGAGCAAAGAGAAAACTACAGCAAAGTGCCTCTAATTCATATGTAGTCACGAGCTCCTCTTAAGTGCAGTTAGAAGAATGCAAATTTTCACGAATTTTTGCAGTAAATACGCTCTGTCGTAATTTTATCTTGCTGACCTATGAAGTGTATTCACGTTCTAACGCTTACGCGATTTCTTTCCGTTGTTTGGTGGCTGGTTATGCACTTTCTCTGGATTTTCATTCCAACTTCGTAACTCCAAGCTTCTTTGCAAGCAGCTGCGTGCATTCGCAGCTTACTTAGATGGATTACCATATTTTAAATGATCGCTTATAAAAACGAAACTTTTGTTCTTTCCAAGCGCTCGTGTGCCAGAAATCTCAGCAGCCCAGGCTGGACGGTTTGCCGCTGCTCCATTGCCACTCGAACATCACTCTTTGTGCATTATCGCGTAAAATCTGACACAGGCCAAACCAGCCATGTCCCAGGAGCACATACATCTAAAGGCGATGACATGTTATTCTGGCCTGGCTGGCACAGAACCCAGTCTCAGCTCAGTTAGTTCGCCGAGGTAATATTTTAATTCTGAACTGACACCTCTTCCGTGCGAGGGTCATCGGGGCTCGGCGCAGTAAGCCGCTCGAATGGAAGCCCATCTGTCAGTCGGTGGAGTCTGCTTACTGAGGTCGAATGGAATCCTCCCACTGCGATGGGCACTACCACCCGACATGAGTCACCTTGACATGTCGGCGCGCAGAGGCCGCTCCTGATCCTGATCCTGCTGATACCAGCTGGAAGTCGGCCGCTGTCGCGACGCGAGTCTATTGCAATGCCACGAGCGATAGGTGGGCAGAGTCCGGATCGGTCGGTGATCATTTAGCGTGTAGTTCTCTCAGAACAATCCCGATCGTTTCTTGCCATTATTTAACTGTGGTGTGTTTCCTGTGTTGACATATATAACAACCAAAGGAACACGTGAACTGATCGTAGACCTAGCCCCTCACGTATCTGGCAGCGGCACAAGGTCGCTCTCATCCCGAGTACCATCATCAGCGTCACGCCTAGGTTATGCGAACTATTTTTATTACCTGTCGCCAGTGCTGTGGACCGAACATCTGTCATCTTTTGTCCGTGATTTATACTAGAGCTCGCCAATTAGTGGTTGACGATCTTCGTCTTCACGTCACCGCAGTCCATTACATGGCCTGGGCATAGGATGTTAATGATCGTCACCTGCCATCGTCGTCTGCTGTCAGCTGTTCCGTCTTTAGTCGTCTGTTGTCTGCCACCTGCCGTCTGCCTTTCGTTGTCATGATTTTCCGTCTTTAGCCATCAGTCGTCTCCCATCTCTAGTCTCCATTTGATATTTTTCATTTGTCTATAGCCTGTCCTCTGTCATTTGTCATCTTTGATCTGTCGTTTGTTGCCTAGTATGTCGTCTGTTGCCTAGTATGTCGTCTGTCGCCTAGTATGTCGTCTGTCGCATAGTCTGTCTGTCTGTCTGTCTGTCTGTCTGTCTGTCTGTCTGTCTGTCTGTCTGTCTGTCTGTCTGTCTGTCTGTCACTCCACGTCACCCACCGTCAGTGTGCAGGCCGTGTCAGCCATTGCTGCCGCCGCTGTCCCGCTGCCGGCGTCCGTTTGGCCTGATGGCGCTGTGCCCCCGTGTCCGGTGATATAGTGAACTGCACCGGCGGCCGGAGATTCCATGCCCACCGCCCGCCGGCCAACGTATCATCTCTAATTTCGGCATGTTAGGGTCGCGTTAGCCGGCCAGATCCGACAGGCCAATGCCCATTTGGCGGCTTATAGATCGGCGCCGCGTGCTGGCGTGGCCGGGCGGCCGGGCAGCCGCTGCAGCGGCCCGCCAAATTGAATGGGGAGCCCGGCTATCGGACACCGGCGACTTTTTAATCCGCGTCGCGACAGCCGGCCGCCGTCGCCGCCCCCTGAGGCGCGTAGCCGGCGAGCTGCCTCTTACCGGCCGCGGTGCCTGTCGCGTCGGATTAGAGGTGGCCGCGGCCCCGGCCCCGGCGGGGCGGCGTCGTCTGCGCTGATCAGCGGGCTGTGACCGGCGGAACACGGTTACACCGTCGCACCGCGCTGAGCTGCCCTCCGCGCACATCTGAACCGCCCGCCGCTCGACACAGTTCGCGGAACATCTGTCGGCCAATAGAGCAGCCAGTTTGATCTCAAATGAACTCCTGAACATTGTGTAATCATTTGTACTCCCAGTGGACTGCATCAAAGTTCGTCCCGATGATCCCCGGAGGAGCACACATAGGCCGAAGTTGGCCGGTCCCCAAGGTTTTGCTCACTTGCATTGACGGCTGTGGTCCCATTAGGACCGCTGGAGCTGGTCTAATTTTTGCGATTTTCAGAGGTTGTTTGATATTCATCTGATGTTTAACTCTTGGTCCTGAGGCCCTTCGGTCCGCTGCAAAAGCCATCCGGTATATGCAGACCGCGCTGACAAATTGTGTGTTGCTGGTTTTCCGTTGTCCCCTGATGATCAGCTTGCAGGCTCGGAGATATACAATTTTCTGATTTTTAAGTCTTCTGATGGCCCTCGCCCCTGCGGTTTCCTGTCTGCTGTTCAGCCTCCGCGGCCCCCGCTGACATGTTCCGTCCTTGATGACGCTCACAGGGGACCCGAACGGCCCACACCGAGACACCGCGAGCCATATGAGCAAAGTTCCCTATAATATAACCGCTTTCCTTGTTCAAAGTTGGCTAATTAAGCTGGCTGGCATAGTTACCTGGCGTGATGGGCTGCTGCTACGACGGCCTCCTCGGCGGGCCGACAGGCAACCCCTCCGCCCCGGCCAAACACAAACTACTCAGACAGATAATTAGCGTTTGTTGTACAGTTTGACACAGCTGTTCGACTCTCCTCAGCGAGCGAGAGCAGCGCTGCTCGACAATGGAGAATATGTTGAATGGGAATGCTCAAGTTGTGAGGTGCTTGTTATGTAACTTGTCATTAAAACTGTATGCTGAGCGCTTAGTTGTTGAATTTGAAACACACTTTGTCTCAAAGGACAGATATCATTAAGACGACTCACAATAGACAAATAAGTTTTAGGGTGTATATGCTGTAAAGCTTTTAAACGTTACTGAATGAGCTATAGGCACAACATTCATCAATTAATAAAACAGTACCTACTTACTTTCTATAGCTGCCAATATCCATCTATATAAAAACTTGGACCAGTCATCGTGAACTAGGTATCTTTAAAAGAAACAGGACTTTTTGAAAGCCTAAGTAAAGACCGAAATGCAAATGACTGAGGATGAACATTCAGATGATCATTTGTAACCGTCTAGTGCTTGCAGTTATGATGACTGCTTTTGAAGGTCAAGATCCTTCCTTGATATGCTTGCAATGGACTAGAGTAACTTGATATGCATAAAAAGCCCACTTTCACTGAACTATACTACCAAACAATTGTCTTCTCTAAGCCTGGGAGAACCAATGAAAAACCCCAACCGGCATCTGTCTGACGGCATTATCAGACCGGAGAGGACACAGTTGTTGCCCTGAAGGAGAGCAACAGGCGATCGTCAGTGCGTGGCCAGTCCGGCGGGTGACCCCTCCCTCCGCTCGACTGTGGAGGCGGCGGGAGGCGCGCGCGCAGGGGCACCCATCAGTCGGCCGGGCCCGGCTATCAGGGCCTCTGGCACCTGCAATGGTCGGCTATATCCCCAGGACTGATCGGTCTCGTCTAGATGATATCGGCGCCCGGCCCGGCCGCCGTCAAACTCCCATCCCAGGCCGCCGGCTCAAAGGACCAAATTGAAATGAAAAGCTCCGCCGCGGCGCGCTGGAATTTCGCACGCCACTCGAAATGGTTCCAGTTTCCATCGTCATAAGCGAGCCATATCTGGCGGCCCTCTTTGACTGTTGACTACACAGAGACGGCCGCCGATAATGAAATGGACGGCCCGCCGCCGGCTGCGCGGAGTCTGTTTCTGAATAAACAGCCTGGAGAGGAGGTCGGCCTCCGCGCGCGGCTCTGAAACCATTGCATCGGTGGCCAACTTGGCGCGCCGAGCCGCAGCCGGCCAACATTTGAATCCCACCGGATACGGGCGACGCCGACCCGTCTGCATCAAAATGGTCGTTAAGTGATCGATCCGAAAATGATCCCAGCTGTGTAAAGACGGATTTGGAGCTCTAAAATAGGCGTCGTTGGTAAAAGAAATGCTAAACCAGTCTGTGGGAAAATGTTAACAAGTTCCCCAAAAGTTCCCAGTTGAACAATGGTGTTACAAAACGCTACACTGACGTCCATGATAATCATCACATAAAAATATGATAGAATCACTATTGGAAATATGGAGATATATCATCAGGAACAAACGCACAGGCAGTAAGGGGCTCAGATTGTCATAGATATTGATAGGTAGACCAACAATATTAATATTCCCTTTGTTATCCCTTACTCAGTCACGCATCAATTACCTATCAATTAACCGCCAGGTTTTGGACAGAGACTACGTTCACAACTCATTTAGCATGTGCTGGACTCTATTAATGACAGCTGTTGCCT